AGGTAGTGCTGGAACTTTATACAGCTACATGCCAACCATTACAGGTCAGAAGGGGGGTGGGTAATAGCCTCCATCAGGATTTCACAATATGGGATAGGCATGTTTAATCTTCTTTCTCCTCTTCTGATGCTGGTGCAAACTGCGAGGCCTAGCAGAAGGTTTAGAAAGCCATGGAGGTGTGTATTTGGGTATGACCTTGACTTAATGGCACATAATCAATATGTATGTTCACTAATGACAATTATATGATGCCAGTGGAAGCATGTGCATCTGGGGGGGACAGGTTTCAAATGATTAAATGTTCATCATGGCATCATGATGCAAGTTCTGCTCCTTTTGTACTGGCATCGGAACCTCACACACAAATAGGTAGGGGGTGCAGCATCCTGACGTTGCAATGCAATTTTTGCTGTTTGGATAGAATCGCAGCTTGCTGTAACACCCCCTGACTAGAAGCTGTTTCTCTAAATTTTGCCCTGGATCACAGCCATTCTATTGGTAATGATTTCTTCCTCCTGGAATTAGATAAAGAAGAAAATACGTCACTTGATATTCAGTTTCCCCTTCAGATCAGCTAGCCAGGGAAGGAATGATGTGCATATCAGCTTCATGGGTTTGTACATGTGAGGCTCCATCAGAGACCTCCCCATATATTCTCTTTCTGATTCGTGGAACCTTCACCTATATTGGGGGCTGTGGCCCCATCCCATCTCTGTCTGATGTAAAGCATTTGATGTTCTTCTTCATCCCAGGAAGTTCTAGCCCTACGTGTGATGACAGTGGGGTAGGGGCTACCTTTTTCATGACAAGATTTGTCAGGGCATTGTTTTAAAAAGTATCTAAAAACACCTTTTCGTTTGTACAGAAGAGTGACAATTCGGCCACCTTCACAATGAAATTCTATGCAGCTCAGCTCAGAAATACAACTCAGTGGGTGTAATGGTATGTGGGAACGACCTTGGGAGACTGGGCAATAAGACACAGCCAACAGAAGAGTCAGATAAAAGGCAGCTGAGCCCAGAGCAGGAATGTGGGTGGGGCAAGAGGCTCAGAACAGACCCTCCCTAGTTTTTTGGGATGTAAAGGGGACAGGGGTGGGGTGGGGAGAAAAGTACTTTCAGACTTGCAAGAGTCTGTTAATGTAACTTTATAATAAAGTAGAATTAGCTCATCTGGTCATGTTTCCTGTCTGATCTACCTTGTAAAGCTGACAGTGGCGTCAATAGACCTTGTTCCCAAGTAAGTCATCAGCAAGGGCTAATCTGGATTAATAACAGGGTGTGTAATGTATAGGCCATCAGTTTAAAATAGGGATGCTGTAAAAATTATTTAATCATCCAATAACATTCTTCATAATGCAACAATATTTAAGGGGCATTAGAAGCCTGATCTGTGTACCCCAATGGCTTGTGCGCTCCAGAAAGCATTTAAACTGTATTTCTAGTACAACAGAGAGTTTTAAACTGTCAATTTACATAAATTGTTGGGCAGCTCCAGGAAGCTCCAGTATTGCAAATGGGGAGGGGATTGCTTCATGCAATGATTTGGCAGGACAGTGATCTGTAAGAGGGAGGGAAGGAGGCCATCTGCACTATGACATCATCATGCAAATACTATGAATTGTGTGATGCAAATGACATCATTTGTATCAATTCTGTGATGTCATGGTGGATGTGATGTCACTGTGGCTTCTAGTGGATGTCTGTGGAGCCACTACATGAAAGAAACTTGTTGAAGGGGAAAGAGAGCCTTCTTCAAAGGTCTTAAGCATTTCTACTTCTCTAATGCCATTCTAAGAAGAGCTCCCCTACTAATCCTTCATGAAGGATCTACTGAGATACTTAGATTCTTGATAAACTTGCAGATGCTTTATGTGTCAGTAACTTGTGGGTTACAGGACTACCTAACTGAACATGAGAATTAGAAGTGGGAGAAGAAAGTATCTGAACTCTTATCTCAAAACACACTAATCAGGTTCAAAAACTGAGGTTGGTCATGATAGTAGGCAAGAACTATCTGTGATATGAAGAAGAAACCCCCCTCTTTAACCTACCAAAGCCAGAGTCTGGGAATGTAAAGAAATGGCCCTCATCCCACAACAAGTTTAATTAGATCAGTGGGGGAATTAGTGAGTTGTGCGAATGCCCAGAGTGTCATTTGTCCCAATCAATCTGAAGGAATTACATTTAATGCAAAGCAGACCCACCCATGCCCAGCCAATGGTGGTTCATCTGATAGACAATGAAAAAACAAAGTGTAGGTTAGATGATGTATGAAACCTGCCATTGTAAAAAACATCTGTTCCCCACATCAGCTTGTTCATAATATGTCCTCATCATAAAAGGTTCTTTTCCCCCTCCCCCCCACAACTGAGCTGTGGGTAATAATGCAATCTCGCTGACTTTTCAATACCAGGCAAATATTCACGTAGTTTGCCTGTTTTCCCAGGCTGTAAAGAAGCATCAGCTTTAGACAAATTGGCTTCAAACAGTTCTTTTAAAATGAAATGTTGCTTTTTTATACATATATTGTCAAGGGATTTAATGCTCCCTTGTTGGTCCTGTATCTGCTGTATGCTTAACCATTATATCCCACTGAGAGCCAGTGATTTCTCTCAGCCCAACCTACCTCACAGAGTTTTGTTATAAGGAAAAATAGGAGCAGGCTAAGTTACCTACACTGCATCGAGCTTCTGAATGAAAAGGCAATATATACATTTAACAAATAAATAAACTAGATCAAGGAGGGTTTATTGTGGGAACTTTCAAAAGGATCGATTGATCTACTCATTTAACCATAGTAGTGAGGACTCTTAACAGATCCATTATCTGTAGGGTTAAATTAAGTCCACCCAGCCATCTGTGTTGTGGGGACATTTAATTCAGCCAATTAATCTGGTCAGTGGAGAAGGGGCTTCTGGAGGACATGGGATATCAGGCATTTCCTGGAAACTCTGTATTCCTGAAAGTGCCATTTGTCAGTGATAATTTCCACCCAATCATATGAAATAGGTCAAATAGGTCAATAATAAGTCAATAAAAATAGGTCAAATAGGTCAATAAAAGTGCCATTTGTCAGTGGAAGCAATTACCAAGGTGCTAAGGCCATAGTTGTTCCTTCGTTCGATGTCTTCAGATTGAGGCTGGACGGCTGATTCTCACAGATGTTTAAATGTGGATTGCTGAGCATAGGGGGATAGACTTGATGGCCTCAGTGACCCCTTCCAGTGCATGATTCCAAGGGTCGATCATTGCCATGTTTTATGGCAGCATGTTCTGTAAATCCATCTTCCCAACTGATCCCTTGCAGATATCTTGGGCCATTTGTATAGATGGGAACTTTGGGAGTTCTAATTTTAGTGCGCTTGGAGGTGCCAGATCGGGAACAATGCCAGGAGTGAATTGTGTTGTGTGAAGAAGGAATTGGTCCCCCCCCCCCATACTAAACTGACCATTTAATAGTTTCCTTTGAGAACTTCAAGTTAGTCTTGGATTTTTTTCCAAGGTGGAGACGGGGCGGAAGAAAAGTAATACACCCTCTTTTCTTTCTCATCCCCATTTCTTCAGGCTGGGCACCCTCTTCTTAACTTCTAACATGGCTGTTTTAGCTAAATTGAAGACAAATCTGAGGCGATGTACTCACAATTTCTCTTGAACCCATCTGGTAAGACAATCAGACAGTACATTAAATTCTAAATTTGAAACCTGGGATAACCAAACTCAGTTTTTGGTTTTTGCCGTGCCCATATTATAAACCATACTGTGGCATAGTCCACTAAGATAATGGCTTACATGATCACATGCTGAACTATAAACCACCCAACCATATTTCAGCCCGGTACAATATGTTATGAGAATTTAGTTTTATTGCCTGGAGTACTCACACATTACAGTCATCATGAATGGTATTTTCACCAGCATTTCTTCCAAGAGTTCAGGCTGGCATGAATAGCTCTTTTTAACCTCACAACAACTGACCAAGGTGGACTGAGCTGAGAGGGACTCATCTAAATGCTTCATGTGAGCTTTGTGACTCATTCCCTGAAGGCAGTCCTTGGAATATCTCCAGAATTGGCCACCAAATACAACTGAGGAAGGAAAGGATGAAATACAAGGCAAAGGCCAGTGTGATATATAGGCTATGATGTTAGACTGGGATCAGGGAGGCTGAGTTCAAGTCCTCCCTTGGCCAAGGGTGCATGTGGGATGGAATGCTGACTGCCATAACTTACTTCCTTGGAGGTCTAGTCATGTCTTTGGTCCCAGCAGAGGTGGTGAACTGATGTCCAAGAGTGCCTCACCACAGATTCCTGTAGATTGGGATTATGTATTTGTTCTGATACAAGCATGCCACAGTTCAGGAATTGGACTTGCACTCATATCAAGATTGTACACAGACCAGTCCCTCTCTCTTAGCTTAACCTACCTCACAGGGTTGTTTGAGGATAAAGTGAGGGAGATCCATCTCCCATCAAAGCTGCCTAGAGGAAATAATAGGAAACCAGTGGAACAAATACAGAAATAAGTGATGCGAAATATGTTTGAATGGTGGAAGGTGGGAGGGCTTTGAAGGAAATAAAATGCGTAGCAGAGAAAATTCCAAATTCAGGGAAGTGGAGGCTCATTTGGGGAAAAAAGACTGTCTTGCTGTCCTCTTTTGTTCTTGATTAGCCTCCAGCTTTACATTTTAAAACCACGTGTCCCCCCTCCTTTATTTTTTCCTGCCTACTTATCCATAAATTCTTTACTAATCCTTTGTGTATTTAGGCAACATCGGAAGTGCACCAAAAAGCAACTGGTTAAGGCCGTGCACATTCCCCCCCTTTTCTTTTTTTTTTTTTTAGTTTTATAAATCTTTTTCATTTTCCTTTCTGCCCAGCTCCCAAGTCTCTGATCATTTGTTCCCTGGGTATCGTCCATAATGGGGAAAGTTTCTGCTTTTGAACATGTGGTTTCTAATTACTGTGGATTTCTTTTCCCCCTCCCCTTTACCTCCTTCAGCTGCTCTGGCTATGTCTCAACGTGGGACTGTTTTGGAAAACTTTCCGGTTGTATTATCGTGAACCGCAGTATTACTATTTACATCAGATGCTGGGGGTAAGTGGCGGAGGAGCGATTCTTCCTTCTCGGGTCTACGGGGAAGTTAGTGGATGAGCTGGGCTAATAAGGAAGATGTGAGACTTCTGGGGAAGTTCAAGGAAAGGCGTGGGGATGGGCATTTGGGTTAGGGTAGGGGAAGACAGAGGGTCTGTCTTTGAGTTGAGAAAAGGACTCCGCCAGACTTCGTAAGGTCCTGGGAAAGCAAACCTCCCACCCTCTGCTCCCAGCTGCAGACTGACTTTCTGATATCTGCTGCATGAACTGAGTTCAGCAGATCGTCGGACTTGTTCTGTTAGTCATGGTTACGTTAACCAAGCTCGTGGGCTTGTTCCGGTGAGCACTTCCAAATGTGGATGTCTCGAGGGACGTGATTGTTTTCGTTATTATTTTTTTAATGCGTGCTTGCATCTCTTTGATTCCATTCTCCTGAGTCCGTTGTGCAATTCATTCCGAAATTAAAAAAGAAACTGCGGGTGGGGAAAACCAGAATTGAAAAAAAATTCTTTTGAAAGGCTTAGCTTTCTCTTTTCTCTCAGTGGAGAGGAAATACAGATTTTCAAGCAGTATCATAGATCAGGCTACCACAGCATTATTCTGCAGTGAAACAAATGAAACTTTCAAACTAGATTGCAGCCAGGTTGTGGATTTTCACGCCTGCCTTCGTAACCGAGGAACTCTGGTTGCGTTGCCTGAGGTCAGTGGGGCTTATTCCAAACTTAGTCGTTATTTGAAAAGGTAGATGTTGGAGGAGAACCTACAATGTGATAACCCCAAATCAGAAAGACTCTGGTAGCACCTTTTCAGACTAGCAAATTTCAGCTGCATTTGATGAATGAGCTACGGCTTATGAAAGTTCATGCCTTTTAATAAAATGTCTTAGTTTGAAAAGGTGCTACCAGTCTCCTTTGAATTTCTGTATTTCAAAGTGTGCCTTTCTATATAGATAAATGTTGGAATAAGCCCTGCTGAGCTCAGTGGCTGGGTTCACACATTGTATTAAGCTACAGTTTCTTTTAAATATGGTTGGTTGAATTGGGAACAATTGGCTGGAATCACAGAGTGAGCTAAACAATAACCCTTGGATTATAAAGCACAAAAAGTTAAGTTGATACAACATATTAAACTGAAGCCAAACAAATTACATTATGCCTTAGGGTAGTGTGTAAATTCAGCCAGTGTGTCTGAACAAATGCTGGTGGGATCAGGTTGCAAAAATTCCCTTTTGTGTGAGGTATATATGTATGAGTGAGTTCCCTCCCACCATTTTGATCTCAAATATTTCAGACATTCAAAAACCCCATATTTTACAGCCGTGGTGAAATATGTGCTAGGATTAATAAGTGTAACCTAAATTAAAAGATTTTGAAATTCTCATGTTCATAAAAGGAGAATTAGGTTATGCTCCTCTCACTGTTTCATCTAGTGTTGTGCTGTTTGCTGTCCATGTTTTTAGTATTTCCTAGTCCTTTTATCTAACAGTCTAATCTTTATAAGACTACTGAAGAGAAACTCCTATGGAGTCATTTATAAAATATACTGATATAGATCTTCAAATGTTTAGTTGTAAATGCTGGGAAATGAGGGGTAAACGCCATGTTATTAGTGTGTAGTAATAATAGTCTGCCTTTAGATATATGATTTCACCAAGTGCAGTGCATTTTTAGGGGGAAGAGATGGCAACATGCCAGTCAACAGGGTTTTTTCCCTTTCTTCTGCAGTCATAAATACCACGAAAAGTCCCTCCCACTCCCCATGAAGCTATGAGATTGTAGCTACGCAAGGGGTAGGAATGTGCTTTTTAAGAGAAGCATTCCCATGGATGGATATTAGGAGCTTCCCCTAAACTATCCACTGCTACGTCTCTAGAAGTTAAAGAAAATCAGAACATGAGGCCTCAGCAAGTGTAACATGCAGTTTGACCCTTAGAAGAGAATATGTGTAGCTCAGGGTTGAACTGGGGAGTCCCTGGGGTTCTCTGAGATTGGTTGTTTTCTTGCAAATGTTTCGTTACCCAGCTAGGTAACATCTTCAGTGAAGTTGTCAATGTGATGTAATTTGTAAATCAGTAATTTGTAAATCAGTGTAAGTTATCAATCAGTTTTTGTGGGCATCATTGCATGGGGTGGGGGTGGCCACTTGGCTTGATGGTAGAGCATAAATCTTCACATGCAGAAGTTCAAACCTAATAGCTTCATGTAGGGCTGAAAAAATGTCTGTATTACATCAGTTACCAAGAAGGTTCAACAACACAGAGATAAACTCAGTGGCTCTACTCTCTTAAACCAGCCCAGTTGCATTGCTAGTGGTTCTGGCAGTAGGCAGTCAGTCTAGTCCTTATGATTCTTCCTTTATATTGGTTGGGTTTTACACATTGCACCAAGCCAAGGAAGTTGAGTCACGCCTTCCACTAATCAAACCCACGTTAAGCACCTCATCTTGTCTACCCACGTTAAGCACTTTATCTTGGAGTAAAGAGGAAGAGAGTTGCTGTAAATGAAATCATAGCTGCAGAATTACTGGGTAGTTTGTGGGTGATGCAGACAAATGCTCAAAATTGGACATGCTAAATTCATGCAGCTCAAGTAACATTTGCCAGAAAATGCATGAAAACTGCTTACGGGCTTTTAGCAATTGTCCAGGCAACAACTGTTCCCTCCACCTGATGCTTTGGGATCTTTGTTCTAACCAGTGATGTATTCAGTAACCAGAATCAAAGCAAGAAAGGGGTTTGGGATCCAAGGTGGGTGCAGCTGATGTGTGAACTCAACACCCAATCTGAAGCACCTTTTCCATCTCACATCTGATCCCTGCACATGCTTTGCTCTAATAAACATTATAGAAAGAACAGGAAGCTGAACCACAGCTGCTTATGTGTGTTCTAGTCTCTCAACTGTACAATAAATACTTTAGTTTTTGGCTTTCGCTAAAAAAGGAGATATAAGCTCATATCACCTCCACTCTTGTCTGGAATCTAAGGAGGAACATGCAAGCCATATTCTGTACACATGAATAGAATTCATGATTTGCAAATGGGCAGCGCTGGGTCAAATCTTTCATATCCTCAGCTGTGATTTTAAACAAGAACAGAATTTGATCCTGGGATTCTTGGCATCTCAGTTTGCATTTTTAAACTGAACATCTATGTCCATTATTTTTATCCATAAATTGTCTTTCAAATTAAATACATACTGCAATGAAAAGTTTTCTTGGATAATTCTACGCAGTTCCTCTCCCCACTCGGTTTGCTCAATTCAGCCACTAAGATGGTCAACCATTTCTGCTTCTGGTAGCGTACAATTACAATAACAGAGTCAACTTCCCACCCCCACCCCCAACATTTGGGGAATATATTTTATTCTAGTATTCCGTGAGATTTTGCTTCAAGTCTCATGGAATTAGCTTCTTTCTCACTGGTCAGGCAGACAGCAGTAGGACCCTATTAGCCATTGCAGCACATCATTGTGTTCTGTGATGCCAAGCCTTGCTCTGTAATAGAGAAGCTCGCTCTTTTATCTGATCTTTCTTCCCAACTCCTTGTCTTGGAGGACTAAGTAGGCCAAATAGATTAACTGGAATAAGTGTTCCCATGACAAAGCAGCCTAGCTGAGTTAATTGAATCCTGTGCATAACCTGTTTAGGGCTAAACTTAACCCTTTGGGGAGTTAATTATGTATGTCAATTGACTCTTTGGTGTGTTTCCACAACACATTAATCCCTTCTCATTTATTCAGCTAAGTGTGTTGTGGGAACCAGGCTAACCAGTGAGTATCCACTTAACAATGTAAAATAACAGAAATGTTTGAAAAGGAAGATACAGTACTTCAAAGCCATTTGAAAGTTATTTAAACTTGATCTTTTTTCAAAGGCTTGGGAAAATGGTCAAAACAGCTAAAATAGTTTCCTGCCACTGAAACATCAACAAGGTGGGTTCCAGAAGCGTTGGGATGGTGCCACCCCAGAGAAGATGCTCCCGTGGATTGACAATCATCCGTTTGGGTGGGAAAGTGAGAGAAAAACCCTGTGGTAGTGATCACACAGCACAAGCAGGCTGGGTGGGGAATAAATACCTTTACAATTGTGGGATTCACACCTCACACTATGACATAGCTTGTTCATGATTTATTGACCAAGCTGCAATTGGTTGTATATGCACAATATGCTAAACTATCAACTGTGGTTCAGAAATGGTTAGATTCACATAAGTTTCCAAAAGATAACCAAAGAATTAGTGTGATATGTGAACCAAACCAGTGCTGTAAAAATGGCTTTCCCAGGTCTTCCCTAGATTTGCTTCTGGCAGTTGTACCATCAGTGGAAGGATGTGGAGGGGCATGGAGAGCAAAAGACAGGATGTTGTGCAGCAGTTCAGGTGAATTGTCCCGAATCAAATCCTTGGACTAAGTTAGCTTCATGCCCTCAGTAATTCTTAATCTGACCCAGCTCTGACAAGAAAGAGCACAAGAAACAATAGCTCTCATCCAACAGGGGGTATCATAATTCCATCCTGGGACATCAACCAAACCGACAGCAGCCCCTTATCATATTAGGCAGAAGATACACACACACAGACACGCACACACACACACACTGTATACACATACATACAGTACTGTACACACAGATCTCTTTCTGTATATGTGTTTATACACAGACACACAAAGATATATGTGTCTGTATACACACACACACGCATACACATGTACAGCTAGGAATGCACACCTGTTTTTCAGAGCAAGGGGCCTAGAGACTGGTTTCCCCTAAACAAGCAGGACTGAGGTGGGGGGGGGATTAAATCTGCTTAAATTTAAATTAATTAAAACTAAATGCCCTGAATGGAATACACTTAATTAAATACAATGAATATTAAACAAAGGGAGCTCATTAAAAATTGCAATTCCCCTTGCGCTTTCCCTCATATTCCCTTTTCATCACAATGAAAACTGCAATGTGGTAGCAAATTTTGGAAGGACTTGGGTCACGAGACCCAGAAAGTATCCTGACCATTCAGAAAAAGTAAGTTTAAGTCCTCCCTGAGATAAACCAAGATGGTGGGCCTTTGGCATTCCATAGTGGTTTTGCCTCCAGCCCAGAATTCTGTCTGTCGGTCTTCGTTCTTGAGGACCTCCTGGCGATTTACATCTCCACAGAAAATTACAAGAGATAACTCACATGGGAAAACATCCGTGGTAGAAAAGTCAAGGCAGTATTAATTACAATTAAGTCAGCCCATTAACAACAGATGACATCATAAAGCATGACTTGCATATTTCTTGCAGGCGAGAAGATGTTGCAGGCTGGGATTCTAATCTTCCTCATTTTTGTTCAGCTAGGGTTGTGTCTCAGCAGAGCCTCTGCGTCTGTGCTCAACCTCAACTGCAGCCTTGTCCTGCTGCCCGTGTGTCGGGTTCTCCTGGCGCTGCTTCGCGGCTCTCAGAAGGTAAGAGAAGGCTTGAGCAAGAGGCGAGGACTTTTGGTGGGCAACGGGGGACAGTGGCTGCGAATGACAGCTTGCAATGCATTTTAAGCGGCCGTGCCCTCACTGTTTTATGACTCGGGTGATATACGATTATAATAAGTAGATTTTATTGCATTTTGACTTTCCTGGCTTTTAACTGATTAATGATCCATCTGTCGCGGGAAATGGTGCAGCCCCTAGAACTTTCTGCTGGGTTTTATTGACACGTGCCAACTTGTGTCCCAGTTGAAATCTTTTGGGAAAGGATGTAGCTGAAAGATGGCTTTGCATTCTTCTTTTTCCAGTTGCCCAGCCGAAAAGCCAGAAGGCTGTTAGATAAGAGCAAGACTTTCCATGTGACCTGCGGACTGACTATATGCATCTTTTCAGGTGTGTTCCTCCAGCACCAGAGTACGCTGGTTCTTGATGTGAAGGATACTCAATATAGGAAATATTCTGTCACTTCTTAAAAAAAGACAGTGCACGAGAGGGTGGTCTTCTATCATTCTTGCTTTTAAGTCTGCATGTTCGTATCTTTGTAACAGCGGCTGGTTGGAAAAGATCCTTTCAGCACTTCAGAAAAACATTTGGAGTGTACTCAGAAAACAGCAGTGAACATCTTCTAGAAAGTTTGCTGACACTAATCTGATCCAGATTAAACCCAGCAACACAAGTGCTGATTCAGCAAGGGCTATGCATCGCACGGATTCTGCTGCTTTCGTCACATTTATTTTTTTATTTATTTGTGCCAAATATTCTCTTCTCAGTTTCACTGCTAGGCCTTTAATGAAAAATTGGGGTTAGTTTAGAAAAATACTTCTAAAGAAAGGAAGAATTGTACAAATCGTTAATCTGAATACAGTTCCCATGCCTGGAGATTATGCTCTACCAGATCATCATCTGGGACCCCTTGGTTGTCTCTAGAAAGATGGGTGGCAGGCAAATGATTACCTCCTTTCCTTTCCTCTCCCCTCTGCCTCCTGTCTCCTTGGTATCCCCAGCTCCTTTTTGGAACCTTCTGGAGTTTGCTGATGTTGCAGTATCAAAATTTGGCAGAGTGATTTCCCAATGTCTTAAAAAATATGAAGATGAGTAGGTACATTAAGCTTGCCGAATGTTTAACCAGCTATTCTGCTTAGCCGCCAACACCTTAAAAAATGGGCTGAATTTTGGCTTTGCCTATACCAGGATATTACCACTGAGTGGCACCGCCCTTGTTTTCAGCTCTGGGAGGCTGAAAATAAAATAAAATAAAATAAAATAAAATAAAATAAAATAAAATAAAATAAAATA